GCAGCGGACGCTGAGGAGAGGGCCCCTGAAGCAGCAGGAACAGCAGCAGCAGCAGCAGCAGCAGGAGCAGCAGCAGGAAGGGAGTTGAGAGGAGAGCAGTAGAGGAAGGCTAATAAAGAAGTCAGTGCATAGACAGGAACCACTAAGGTTAAGCGGAAGGCAAGGGTTTTAGGAGATGTATGTACACCCCGTGCTGCTGCTACCCCCGTCTTGCTGCCGCTGCTGTTGCTGCTGCTGCTGCGGCTGCGGCTGCTTAGACGCCCACGCAGCAGCTGATATCCATCGCCCAGCAGCGGCAGCAAAGACAATATGCATGCGGCTGCGGCTCCAGCTGTAGCAGCACTCCGGTAGAAGGGATCTTCAAGCAATACAGACATTGCCCCAAACCCTAAACCCTAAATCCTAAACCCTAAACCGTAAACCCTAAAGCGTAGAGGCTTATAAGGAGTCAAGTCTCATCGCTAGTCAGCCTCATCAATCAGCAGAACAGCAGCCAGCAACAGGGAGAAGGAGTAGTCTTTTCTACTGCCCGAGCAATAAAGACAATACATATAATCTAAAGTTTTACAAAAGAATCAGGGTTTAGGGTTTGGGAGTGAGGGTTTGGGGTCGTAGGCTCTGCAAACCGCCTGCGGCTGCAGTGGCAGCGGTCCCCTAGCTGCTGCTGCTGCTGCTGCTGCTGCTGCTGCTGCTGCTGCAGTTGGGGACCTCGGAGCTGCCGGTGTGCACTGAAATAGAAATTGTTTTTGAAAAAGAAGTAAACAATTTTATTAAACAAATTAAAATAAAAAGAAGCTCCTCTAGAGAAACAACACACACAACAAACCCGCCTTAACCAGGTGTATGGGCACCTCAACCAGTCGCCAGTGGTCTTTGTTTGTTTCTTTGAGTCTCGAGGTTGTTGGTATTGCGTCTGTCTTTAACTTTAAACGAAAAATAAATTCTTTTTCTTTTCCTTTACTTTTAAACAAATCTAAAACCAGCTAACCACCCCACTCCGGGGTGTACAGACACCTCGAAGATCTTCAAGCGCCTTTCCTCTACCAGTTGTCTCTTTTGCGTGATCTTCTCCTCTTAAATACAAAATAAATGCATTTAAGAAGGCGAGGCATTCAGGCTCTTCCCAGAGTGGATTTATGGTGTACATGCACCTCAAGTGTAGCCCTCATCTTACGCTGTATTCAATGTATGTGAGGCATAACGAAGGTTATTTGTTTTGTCTGTATTTCAAAAGAGTTCCTAACACCGAAGAAGATAAACAGCACACTATGAAGACCATTTCATCTGTGCTTCCCTAAAAAAGAAGCCAAAGAATGCACACACAACCCCGCAGCGCTAACAATGTAACTCTAAGGGGGTCTCTGTATAGGTTTGATGAACCTATCAGCATTTCTCTGCATATGAGATACACTAAAAGAAGTAGGGGTTGAAAACAACACTACAGTGTTGCTGCATGCGTAGATATGGCCGTTCGGTGTGCCTGAAAGGGCCCTTAGGCGTGGAGGCATGTGGGGCTGGTTTCTGGTAGAGGATGTAGCAGGAGTGATATTACACAGAAGTGCATGCCCCCTATTGATATTACCCACACGCTCCTGTGTCGTTATCTCAGGACCCCTTGGAGACAGACAAAAGGTAAATCCACCACCACTTGGCGGGGATGCTTATTGAAACCAGAGGCCTTGACCTTAAGCGCAGACTGTTGCCGTTCTTCATCAGCCTCCCTTATTAACGAGGGGAAACAGTTGAGCAGACCAAACCCTTCCTCAACATACCAACGGTGTACCTCCCACACTCCCCTCTGTGCAAGATAAGCTGCGTTGCTCCAAAAGGCCCCCGTCGAAAGTGCTGAGCTAGCAACGGTGTACGCACAACGAGAGCCTTCGGTCCCTGCACTGCACACTCGTCGGTTGCAGTGGAATGACAGAACCTGTGTCAAGACCTCCTCAGAAGAGCCCCCAGCTCCTAAGAGGTCTTATCTCAGCGGCAGAAAGGCTTTGAAATGGTGGGGAGATGAAGTACCCTTTACCATGTTGCCGCACCTTGCTGCAACTCGTGCTGCAGGGCATTCGCAGATGCAAGCAAACGCGAAGACAGCGTCAGGGCGAATAGTAGGCCCGTTTATAATCATGTACACCTATCATAAAAAGCAATTTAGAGGGATGTACAAGGA